ATATTTTAGAATATCTTCACATAGATGTTTGGGGCACAACGAAGTCAACATCATTTAGCGGGCGGATATACTTTGTTATTTTATTGATGTTTACTCCAGACATATTTAAGTGTACATTAAAAAATGCAAAGCGAGGTGCTGAAAATTTTCATAACTTGAAAGAAGTGAATTGAGACTCGTACTGTTAAAAACATCTGATGTATTGTATCAGATAATGGGGTTGAATATACTTCGGATGCATTCTTACAAGAGTGTTAGAGAGCTGAGATAGAACATCATTTCACTATTTGAGGCTCATTACAACAGAATGGGGTGACAGAGATGATAAACCAAACTTTGGTGGAGAAATATCAGTGTATGTTATCCAATGTTGAGTTGGATAGAGTCTATGGGTCCTAGGTCATAAACTATGCTTGTCACTTTCCTTCTGCAGCTATTGGGAAAATAACCTCGAAGGAGATATGGTTAGAACATCCTGCTAGAAATTATGAGCACATGAGACTGTTTGGGTGTCCAACTTATTTCTACATGTAGAATAATAAATTGAAATCATGAGCAAAGAAGATGATTTTCATTAGCTTCAGGTGGAGTTGAGGACTTTAAGTTGTATGATCAGTTTTAAAGAAAAGTTTTTAAAGGGAGACTACATTCGACTAGACAAACTTGTTGAGAAATTAGGACTCAAAGCAGATCTAGAGTTCTACTAGGACCATAAATATGTAGCAGAAGTTAGAGTTTGATGCAACTCCATTTGTTCAACAAAGTTCATCCACTCTGACTCAAATACCTGATTTAGTTGAAGTTTAGAAGGCATTTGTTTATAGCGCTCAGGAGGAGGTGGAAGAAGATACTGAGGATGAGACTCATGCTCAGGAATCTATTGCTAAGAGCAGGACCAGAGACCAGAATATCTCAAAACAACTTTGTTGAGGAATCACGTTGCATTTGTACTTTCAGCTATGGATGCAGAAATTCTTTGTCACTACAAAGAAGCGATGGAGAGCCTAAACTGTGTTCTTTAAAGATCAAAAATAGATGAATAGATAGAGTCTCTTCGAAAGAATGATATTTGAAGTTTGGTGAAGCTTTCTCCTGAATGAAAAACTATCGAGTGCAAATGTGTGTATGCAAAGAATAATCTGATGAAGCTGATATGCTTTACAAGATAAGATTAGTAATAAAAGACTTTGCACAATAAGAAAAGTTTGATTATGATAATGTATTCTTCTGAGTGGTCAAGCCTCCTTCAATCCGTGTTCTCTTAGCACTTGTAGCACTATATGGTCTGATCTTGGAACAACTCGATATGAAGACAATATTCCTACAAGGAGAACTGCAAGAGGAGAGCTACATTTGCAGTCGCCTGAATATGGAGCATCAAAAGACTGTTTGCAAACTAGATAAGTATTTGTATGGGTTGAAACACTTACCACGACAGTGGTATAAAAAATTTAACACGAGGAGTCAATATGATCATTGTGCATATTTCAAGAAGTTGGCCAACAGTGAGTTCATTTATTTGCTTATATATGTTGATGATATGTTGATTGCATCTATTAGTGAAATTGAGGTTGATAGAATTAAGAATCAACTGTCTAATTTTTTCAAAATGGAGTTGGCTGAAGCTCATAGATTTCTTGACATAGAGATTCTCAGGGACAAAACATATGGAAAGGTTTTGCTTTTGCAATTAACTTAAGTTTGGAAGGTGCTGAAAAAATTTAAGGTTGATAACTCGAACAAGACAATGAGTCTATCAATTGCATCTCACTTTAAGTTTAGTTCAGATCAATGTCCTAAAGTTAACCATGAAAGGAAATATATGTGATTGGTTCCTTATGCTAGTGTAGTGGGCAGTCTGATGTATGTCATGATTTGTATTAGACTCTATTTAAAAAAGCGTTATTGGGGCGCTCCCAGGGGCGAGATATAAGCCATTTAGATAAGCAGTTTAATGTAGCTACAATAATTGCACTATAGCTATAGTAAACTGTAAATTTGATTTTCAATGTCTTATAATAATTTTTTTTATTAAGCACAAATAATTTATTTTTTGTCTATTAATATTCATATTTCTTATTTTTTTTATACTGTGGGGTTCACACCCGACGCCTTGGGGCTTAAGCCTCGCTCCGTAACAGCTAAACGCCCCGCTCGACGCCCACATCTTTTAAAACATTGATATTGTACCAGACATTGCAGAAACAGTTAGTGTTATAAGCAGGTTTATGCATGATCCAAGAAGAAAATACTGACAGAATGTGAAGAATATTCTGACGTATCTAAATGGTACTGTGGATGTTGGCTTAGAGTTTGAGAGGCATTCAACTATTACAGATTTGTGTGTAGGCTACAGTAACTTAGACTATGTAATCATATGGATAGACAGAGATCTAGAACTGACTATTTATTCACATTAGCTGTAAGTTCAATCAGTTGGAGGTCGGTTCTTCAGTCTTTTGTTACTTTATCTATTACAGAAGCTGAGCACATGACACTAACGGAGGCAATGAAGGAAGTGATATGGATGCAGGGCCTATTGGATGACTTGAGAGTTGATTAGGAGTCTCTGACGGTGTTATGTGACAGTCAAAGTGCAATATTCTTGGTCACAAATTTAGTCTATCATGCTCGTATCAAACACATTAATGTCAGGTACAACTTTATTCAAGACTTGATTGATGGTGATAATATTATGTTGAAAAAGAAATATATAAAGGAGAATCTAACGAACATACTTACAAAACTACTACCAGTCCAAGAGCACATACTATAAGAGTTTGTTGAACATCTGAGCTCAAGACTAATTGTCCAGTAGACATTTTGAAGATTTATGCGAGACTTGATTCCTTTCTTGAGAGGGGTGCGTAGACAACTTTTTTGGTTCAAATGAATTGGAGTTTGAAGTTTGTTTGATCATCTTTCACTTATTTGGAAGTAAGAGATGAGGTAAAGGTAATTGTATTTATGATTTTTTTTATAACTCTGGGTAATTTGGTCTTTTGACTTTATTTATTTATATGTCCTAATTCTCCTCCGTAAAAGGAATTTAGAGTTCATAAGAAAATTATGATGCAAAGTGCAGAAGTTGTAACTTCAAGCTATTTTTCTTTATCCCTATCCGGTGCTAGTGAAATCTCCTTCCTCATTGACGTAGGCTAATCAACATAAAGCCAAACCACGTAAATCTTGTGTTTGATTGTTGTTGTGTGAAATTTTTTCGTTTTCGCATTGTTTTCACATAACATAACCTCCTCTTTTCATCTTTTATATCATTCAAGATCTCTTCTCCATTAGAAAAATTTGAGTCCTTTATACTCTTCCTCGTTGTATTCTTTATCCGTCCTCGAGTCTTGAAGTTCAGATACAACACTTGATCTAATATTTCTTCAGGGTTCCAAAGGCACATTCTTATTTATGTAATCTCTTATGCCACCCATATCAATCCTCATCATAAAAAGTAGACGGATTTGCTGTGTTCGGTGTTTTTAATCACACCTATCCAGGGAACACAAGACGCACAGCTCACTGCCCAGCCCATTAGAGCAATACACTTATCTAAGAAATTTCTTATTAAGATGCTCACATAAGGGATGTGCGAGGTGCTATTGGCTTGCCTTGCCTCAACTTCCTTTAGGCGGGAACAAAATCCTGCCGTTAACAACACCATTCCTTGCATAATAGAGTCAAAAACTAAAAATACTTTTTGTTTGGAATGAACCAAATGATGAATATATTATTATTATTCACAACAGTACCGTTGCTATGAATTCAATTGAAGCCTAGACTCTAAATTTTTTTATTTAGTTTTTTTTAATGTTTATGTCGCAATCAATCAATAAGATTGCGGTTGAACTAATTATGTTTTGGATCTCTGCAGGAGAAGCAATTTGCCCTGAATCTTTTTTACTTGATCATTTCTATATCATACTACGCATTTCATAACTGATTCATAAGTTGAGAACTTCATAAGTCCTTCCAAATTTGTGAAAGTCTATTACGCTTTTAATACCATCCCAGTAGCATCTACCAATGTTTAGCATCTACCAATGTTCGGCAGCGCTATACTAGGTGGCAATTCTTAAGAGGTAAATTAAGTAAATAACATTCGATTAAAAATATAAAACACAAGTTCAAAAACCAACATTGCTATTCCATGTTACATATACTAGCTCGACTGCCACTGGGCACTCAAAGCAGCCTAATCCTTCTGGCTAATTTCTTTCATATATGTCTCCGCCCCGTGATTCTAATTCAATTTCCAATTTTTCGGAATGAACCGACCTGGTTATAAAAGATCATAGAGATAATCTATCTATACTTTCTTTGTGAGCACAAATTTCCATGCAAGAGGATTATAATGAATGCAGTAAGATTGTACAATTCATTTGTTACTTAATTCAAACATCTGATTATCAAAGTTATGTCACTATCGTGCACTTCAACTTTATTTTACTTTTGCCGAGTTTTGGGCATTTTGTGAATTTCTATTTGGTAGTTTTCTCGCTCAGGCTAGAATAATGTTTCGAGATATAGGGCAGACTCAAATATACCAGTTTCTAAGCATTGCGTCAAGCCTAGCACCATTAAATCTTCATCAGACTGTTTTTGAGCAAATTTGGGCTATTATTCTCTAGATAATTGCCTTTTACACCTACATGTGAGGACTTGCCACCTCTTATTGCCTGGATGAGACGACCTGTCCGCCCGTTCCTACTAGATAAAAGAACAACTTATATGTCAGCGTGTTCCAAGAGAGCTCAAACAGAGCAGCACACACTTGTGCCCAACAAACAATACAGAGTTATTTTACTTCAACACTCATAGATGAATCTCGTGTTTTTTTTTTTCTTGCTTGAGATGATAGTTTTAATTCCGGTACATGCCTAAAGGCATCTTTTGTACAACCTTTTGGTTTTAGTAAGGCAAAATACACATCTTTAAGGATGAAAGAACAACAAAGTAGCAAGCTGCCGACGAAACCTAGAGAAGCACAAACTAAATTTTTTCGACCCCAAAAATTTCTTTCCCATCAACTCGAGCAGAGAACTGTAAATAACAGGAACAAATAATGAACGACCGCATAAAATGTCGGCACTTCGAAACAGAAATTTTAAATCAACAATAACTAATGGTTTGCTGCTTAACACGATAAAAAGCAGAGTTGAACGTTGGAACCGCAGTCGGTATCCGTAGAATGGAAATTCGAAAAGTAAATTAAAGAAGACTAGCGGCCGAATCACAAGTTGAGAGGAGCATCTAGTAGCTGCCATATTCCAATAACCAGGAGTTGTGGTGTGGTAGGTGTCTGTTTTGTTCATTTCTTAGCGAAAAGGCCTCCAAAGACGCCGCCACTACCATTGGTTTTCTTGTTGCTGGGGACAGAGACGGAGTTGGGGGACTTGCGACGAGTTGTACCAGTGGTACCGGTACCGCTGCCGTTGTTTTTTCCCTCAACCTTCTTGAGGATTGGATCCGTCTCGACGAGCTGATCCTCCTTTTGAAGACCGCTCAGTATCCAATCGAACAGCCCCTTCTCCTCCGCACTGCCGCCGGTGCTTTTGGTCGTTGCTGTCGCCTGGAACACCCTTCCGCTCACTGCTACTGGTGCAGCAAAAGCCATGCCAAGTGATGCCATTGAACTAGATGTTGCGTTACAGCTGCACGCGCTCCTCAGCCAAGAGGGACGTCGGTTTCTGAGCCGCTTACCCTCCGTTGCTTTTTATGGAATCTTAGCGATCAAGTTGCGTGCCTGATGCACCTTTTGTGGGTGATCAGACGGTTCTGAAGATTGCGGCGTTGGGCCTTTCGTGGGGCGAAGTCCACACGTACCTTATCTGAATAAATCCCTGAATGCTTACTGGTTGTAAAACTTTATGGTGGCAGTTAAGGTTCCAACTGAGTCAAATTAACATGCATGAGCTGAGCTTGGATTAATTAATACATCATTAATTAAATTTGATGGGCTAATAAGCTATTTCTTATTCAAATAATTGGCTTGTGCTCCCTCATATAAAATGGTATTTATATTCTTATTTATGATATTGTTGAATACGATCTGGACTAGGACTACAAGCAATCGCTATCATTCCTTCCTATCAACCTTTGTCCTTGCGCACCATTCCTAACTTGCAAATGGTGGATCCCCATCGCTCCTTCGGTTCATGGGGAGTCTCCTTTCTTGTATAGGCGAGTGAAGCTTTCCCTAAAGTGGAAATCTCGCTTTTTTGCTCTGATCTTCTGGATTTCTTTCTCTTTTTTTTTTTTCTTTTCTAACTTTTAGAAAGGATTTTCTTTTTTTCTTTCTGAGAAGTTGTCAAAATTTCTTTTTCACCTTTTTTTTTCATGAGATCTCTATGATGAGATCGTGCCCTAGATTTTCTCCAAGGTTTGAGACAGAAAGGATATAGAATCTTTATCTGAATACCGTCTATTAACCAAGCTTGGGGAAATTCTGTTTCTGATAATTGAACACCGTTATAGGTGCATTTAATATGGATTTCTCTATTCCATTCCTGAAAATCCTCGTCCCACTCGGGAATTTGAAAGAATAACAGACGGAAAAGATTTTTGGCTATTCTTAATGAAGGCAATAGAATGTCTTTGAGAAGAAAAGATTGGGTTACTAACATCAAACCTCTTATTACTTGAGTCAATCTAAAGGTATCCCAAGCTTCTGATATTTCTATCTGTTCATTTTTCTCTTTTTTTTCCTCTTTCTCCTTTTCTTCTTTTTTCTCTTCATTTTCAAAAGAGGAAATTTTTCATTCTGATTCTTGTTCTCTCGCCATCCAATTCCTAAAAATTCGATTCTGAATTTCGTTGATATCAAAAAACGAAAAAAAAGATGTTTTGTCTAGACGATCCAAAAAAAGAGGAGAATGTACATTGACTTGAAAGAGGTTCCAAATAACTGTTTGACGTCTTTGAGCGCGCATGGATCCTTTGATTAGATTGCGACGAAAATCCGATTGTTGTGAGTAACGTATCAAAGCCACCTCTTCCTCTTCCGTTTGATCATCCTTTTTCTCATTGTTACTAGTCTTCTGAATACTAGAAAGAGAATTGGTATTCTGATCATTCTCGTTCGAAATTCTCACACGTTTGGCTCTTCTTGAACGAATTGTGAATCACACCCTATGAATAAAGCGTAGAACATGAGAGAGAAGAAGAGAAAGAGAGGAAGAGAACGATAAAGTAGAATTTCTAAAGATTTAATTTCAGATTGATTAGTTTTTTATTGTAAAAATAACTCGTCTATTTATAGGCAAGGGCATACAAAAAATACAATTATTTACTTACCCTTGTTTTAATAAGGGTGTTGCAAAGTAATTTAATCATAAGCAAACAAATAAATAAATGAATAAAAGTCTTCAATTCGACTACCCCACCACTTGACCGCCTGAGATTGGTAATCGTTGTATCGGCAAGGCCCATTTGGCAGACTCTGTTGGATTTGGCTAGCCAGTCGACTTTTGACTCATTAGCTAATACTCCTATGATCAGGATGGGACTAGCTAGACTTCGAGTAGAGTGCGAATCACCGTAATTCGACAGATAACTTACCTTATCATAGAAGAACCATCAGGGTGCTCTTATGAGTGTCGTGATGAACACTTTCATACACTTGGCAAGTCTGATGGGGTTCCTCCGAGATGACTCATGATGTTGTGAGAATTGGGTTAATACCTTCTCTCGGTTAGACAAGTTCAGACCTTTGACCTGGGGAACTTTCGTTTGGCTGGCTTGTAATACGACTTCGATATATATTCAAAAGAAAAAATTTGAAATGACCTCGATAAATTAATATAAGTATATCTCTTGAAAAAAGAATTTTATTGGAGGAAATTTAAATGGAGATGTTGGTAGAGTGGTAGAAGATTTTAAAAATATTCATAGTGGTTACGGTTTTGGAACGATTTATGAAAAAGATATAATCATATTAGATTTTTCCTTAGCGTATGATTTTGTTATTGCTAATACTTTATTTTAGAATAGAGATGAGCATATTATAACTTATAAGAAAAAAAAAATTTGTTGAAAATGTAAAGATTGTAAAGTTATTCTAAGTGAAAATTAAGTACTGAACATCGATTATTAGTTTTGGATTTTAAGATGAAAAGTTATATGATATAAAGTACAAGGAAACATTGTCATAGAATTAGATTGGGACACATAAAATATAAATAATTTTTTTTTATGAGTAAACTTCAAAATTTTAAAATTTGGAATGTTCATAAAGAAGTGGGATATGATGAGGTTTTTAAGAAAATCAATGGTAAAAAATCAGTGGGATCTGATGATATGCCAATTGAATTGTGAAAATATTTAGAAGAATTGGGACTTATTTGGCTTGCTAAACTCTTTATTATTATTTTAAAAATTAAAGAGATGCTTGAGGAGTGGAGGAATAATACTTTTGTCCCTATTTTTAAGATTAAAGGGGATGCAAAAGAGTGTGCAAGTTATAGAGAAATTAAGTTAACGTGCCATACATTAAAACGATAAGAGAGGGTAATTAAACATATGTTAAGACGCGATACAAAATTTTTTCGTGATCATCTTGGATTCATGCTATGCAGGTTGACACATTCTAAGTACTATGAAACACTGATGACTCACGTAAGTACACGTAGCTTATCGGTAGACCAGATTAGAGTCATATTGTCGATCCTAGAGGAAATCGGGTTAACCCAATTTTGAAAAAGCTTTAGTCTACTAATATTGGACCTAGCCTGAAATGTTTGATTAACAAGTTTGAGTAAGTTTCAATCCTAAATTGTGGCAAGTTTGTCAATCCTAGCAAGCAAGAAGATTCTTATAAAAATTCAAGTGATGAGAGATTTCTCCCATGAATCAGTCAAGCAGTGGATAGAACTAAGAATTAGGTTCAAAAGAGAGTGTCAATCAAGAGCAAAATTCTTTCTTATCCTCTTTCAATTGTCTAAGAGAGATCAACAGTCTTAAGTTTAGTTCCCTAAAACTCTTGATCTGCCCAATAGAAAATATCGTCTAAGAATTACAGAAATTCATTGACAATATTCATATTCCAATGAGATTATGTGGTTAACTTTTTTGTTCTACAAAGAATCCTTTCGAATCTCAATGTTCACAAAACATTTTAACAATCCACAGGCTATGCAGAAAGTAAATTAAGATTACAAGTTAATCCAAAACTTTTAGAACATTCCAATGCAAATTTCTTAGAAATCCTTAATCATATCCAAACACCATCCTAATTTAAGAGAGAAACAAGAAGAATTATTCATGATTCATGACAAAACACATCAACACAAACTTTGCATTAAGAAAAGCCATCATACACCAAGTCTTAATAGAGAGATCCAACAAAAAATACAACTTAAATGTACTTATCTCCTTTCAAACACGCAATATGATGAAGTCACAAACAACAAGTGTTACACTTTCTCAATCCTCCAAAGCACTTTCTTTTCTTCTCTCCAAGGCTTCTTGCTAATTGTTTGACCTTCTCCACAAGTTTTTCATGCTCCAAGTTGCATAAAAATGAAGAAAAAGCCCTCTTTTTTATGTTTTCATTGTTTAAATAGTCTCTCCCGGCGAAACGACCCAACTACTGAAACCACCAATCGACGCGTTCTAGCGCTTAGGCGCCCATACTTGGCTTCAGGGCGACGTAATCCTGAGTTCATCACAACGCCTAGGTACTGGTTTCGTGATGACTAGGAGCTGCACTATAGCATTAGGCGCTACAATTGTGGAACATAACATCAATACAAATCCCAGCGATCAACAATTGTAACTTGCTTGTAGTAAATATAATAGAAGATTGCATAAACAACTTAAATCAAAATGTAACTTTAGTGCATAAATAAGACCATCATCACAGATTGCCCAAATATATTACAAGCATCATAGACAAGTCCAACTAACAATAAAAATAAAATACGGGTATCATCAACATATCACAACTACACGACAGTAACAACAGTAAAAAATAGCTAAAGGAAGCGGTCAGAACAAAACAGGAGCAACAATATCAATCATCTCATACGTGTCTTCCTCCTTCGGTCGGCTAGTATTATCATAACTAGTGTAAGGCGTATGTGTAGGAAAAACCACTGGATCAGGTCTTCCAAGCCATCAGCTTCTCCAATACATCTCTAGCTGCGCTACATGAAAATCTTCAAATAGTCAAACCGGCTCTTATTCTGTAGGTCCATTTGATAACAATTGTTCACAAAATCATACACTTTCGACTGGATGATGGAGCTGTCGTTAGTAAGGGTATTAATCGTGCAAAAAATAGAAGCAATAGTAGATGAAGGGCGAGACCTCAAAGATGAAGAAGGATGTGAAGAACTCTCACCTCTCTCAAATGAAGTACAACTATAAACCCCAATACTCCTCTTTTCTATCTATTTAATAGGAGGCAATAGTTCCTCGCAACTCTCATATATCTCCTCAGCCATAACATAGATAAAAAATGGTGGAAGGATGTCCCAATCAAACGGTGGACCTAGGATTCATCTTGTTTTTAGTTGGTTGATTTATGATTTCCCCAACATCAATTTTATTATCCCCTTGAATGGACAGCTCTCTCACGGGTGACCTCGCTCAAATTTGTGGAAGGAAAGAGTTTGGCATATATGAAATAATGCCAAGCTTTTGACTCAACATTCAGGAAAACAGAAGAAAAAAGGATATTCTTATTATCACGAATCTTCCACAGATCTCTCCCATTTAAAAAACTAATAATCTCATCCAATTCCTTGTCATTGGGTCTGAAATTGGAAAAGAAACTATTCGGCCTATCTGG